AGTCTTGGACTATGGTGGGATGGACCATCTCTTGTTTGACCTTATGACTCTGGTTTGGTTACCTTGAAAGGGCGGCCTTTGAGACTTTTTCCCACCATTGAATAAACTTATTATAATCACAAGACTTCCCATCATTGTGAGAGGGCGATGATGTCCCGATGTTCTGATGTTTTTAGCATATTGTCTTCTCTTTAACATCTTTTCCTCCCTTATTTAATCTACCTGTTTTTAACCATCTCTAACACCCTTTAGTAGAAAATGATCCTTCATCACTCTCAGCTCGTTGCTATTCTTTAATGTATTCAACTGTGGAGCTCCTTGCACTGCGAGACTCCCCCCTCTCACAGGTTTGGCCCTCTCAACTATCAAGGGCTGCCTTTGATGACGGGTTTTGGAACCCCGAGAGGTGGTACGCTAAAAAACGGAGGCTCTGGGGTTTTTAAAATAGATTTTTAGATCCAATTTTAAGGGGATCCAGGAGGAGGGTGGTTTTTAATAATAAAAATGAGACTGGGGGGGGGGTCTCTTAAGGATCAGCAGCCATGCCATTCTGACAGTCCCGGAGGGTTGGGGCAGTTGGGAGTCGTAGGGGATGCTCGGAGGAGGGTGGGACATTCTATACCTGTGATGGTGGGAAGGGGCAGAAGAAATCGAAGTAGGGGTGGGGAGCATCACACCAGATGCATTCGGATGGTGACTTGCTCCCATACATCCTGCTCACCCTGCTTTCCTGGGGATATGAGAGCGAGGGACCCTGGTTTCCGTCTGATATATGTGAATGCCAGGTCCGTGATGAATAAGGCTCTCCTCATACGAGATCTTATTGATGAGGAGGGTGCGGACCTGGCCTGTATCATGGAGACCTGGTTGGGGCAAGAGGGGGGAATCCCTCTCTCTGATTTATGTCCCTCAGACTTTCATGTCTTGCACCAGCCGTGACACCAGGGAAGGGGTGGGGGATGGCAGTGGTTGTTAGAGAAAGCCTTAGTCCTAAGGAGGTCACTGTCCCTCAGATAGGCGGGTGTGAGTCTCTTCTATTGAAGTGGGACCCTGGAGTTCAGTCGGGCTTGTTGGTCACATACCTATCTCCCAGCTATGTTGCCACAGCCCTGCCCGCACTGTTCGATGTCTTGACTGAAGTGGCACTCGAACTCCCCAGCCTTTTGGTTGTGGGAGATTTTAATCTGCCTTCGATCGGCAAGTCATCTGAGACAGTCCGGGAGTTCATGGCCTCCATGGCAGCCATGGACCTGACTCAGGTTATTCAGGGCCCAACTCATAAGGAGGACACACACTCGACCTGGTTTTCCTCTCTGGGCAGTGGATAAATGGTCATGGTAAGGGGGAACTTTCCATCACTCCCCTGTCATGGACTGACCATTCCCTCCTTAGACTGGACTTTCAATCTGCCAACCCTTGCCGCTGGGAGATGGGACCCATAAAATGGTTCCGCCCTAGGCGCCTGATGGACCCAGAAAGGTTCTTGAAGGAGCTTGGGACATTCCCCACCTCTCAATCCTGCGATTCAGCTGAGGCTCTGGTGGCATCCTGGGAACGGGTGGCTACCGACACCTTGGACAGAATCGCACCTTTGCGGCCTCTAACCCGATGCAGATCCCGGATTGCTCCTTGGTTTTCCATGGAGCTCCAGGAAATGAAACGTCAGAAAAGACGCCTAGAGGAGAGTTGGAGGTCCTCCCGATCTGAATCTGACCGAACACAGTTAAGAACCCATATCAGGTTTTATCTAGTGGCGATGGAAGCGGCGAAATGAGATTACTTTGCCGCACTCATTGCATCTGCAGAAAACCGCCCAGCAGTCCTGTTTCGTGTGACCCGCTCCCTCCTCAATCAGGGAGTGAGGGAAGACCCTTTGCAGGGCAGAGCTGAGGATTTTGTACAGTTTCTGCATGATAAAATCGCTCAGATCCAGATCGGATTGGACTCTGACTGGGCAGAATCCAATCGGAAGACTAGGGTGGGTCTTGAGAATAATATCTGGATTGAGTTTGTTTCTGTCAAGGAAGTGGACAGGATTATGGGCAAACTTAGTTCCTCCACTTGCTTACTGGATCCTTGTCCCTTCTGGTTGGTTTCGGCTGCCAGGGAGGTGACTAGAGACTGGATCCAGGCAATTGTCAACGCTTTGTTGAGAGAGGGGAACTTCCCCGCCTCTCTTAAGGAAGCGATGGTTCGATGTCTCCTCAAGAAGCCTTCCCTGGATCCAGACTCACTTAATAACTATCGTCCCGTCTCCAACCTTCACTTCATCGAGAAGGTTGTTGAGACTGTAGTGGCACAACAGCTCCCACAATTCCTGGAGGAAACGGAATACCTTGACCTGTACCAATCGGGCTTCTGACACGGACACAGCACGGAAATGGCATTGGTCGCTCTGGTGAATGATCTCTGGCGGGCTCGGGATGGTGGTTGTTCCTCCATCCTGGTCCTACTTGACCTCTCAGCGGCTTTTGATACCATCGACCATGGTATCCTACTGCAGCGACTTGTGGGGTTGGGGTGGCAGGCACTGTCTTACAGTGGTTCTCCTCCTACCTCTCAGGTCGCTTTCAGTTTGTATGGGCGGGAAGGCAGAGATCCACCCTGAGGCCCCTTAATTGTGGGGTGCCTCAGGGGTCGGTTCTCTCCCCCCTACTCTTTAACATCTATATGAAGCCACTGGGTGAGATCATTCGTGGCTTTGGGGTGAGATATCATCAATATGCTGATGATACCCAATTATACATCTCCAGCCCAGCTCACCCCAGAGATGCCCTTTCCGTGATGTCCCATTGCCTGGAGGCGGTACGGGCCTGGATGGGCAGAAACAGACTCAAACTCAATCCCTCTAAGACTGAGTGGCTGTGGATGCTGGCATCTCGGGTTTCAGAGGCCCCATCGCTTGTGATAGATGGGGAAAACTTGCACCCGTTGATAGGGCTTGCAACTTGGGTGTCCTCCTGGATGCTGTCCCTAGAAGACCATCTAACGGTCGTGACCAGGGAGGGCCTTTGCACAGATTCGCCTGGTGCACCAGTTGTGCCCTTTCCTGGACCAAGATGACCTTCGCACAGTCACTCATGCCCTGGTTACGTCCCGGTTGGATTACTGCAATTCCCTCTACATGGGTCTGCCGCTGAGATGCACCCGGAGACTCCAGCTGATCCAGAATGCAGCTGCACGGGTTGTTACAGGAGCCCCTTGTTACTCCCATATAACACCCCTTCTGCGTGAGCTGCACTGGTTACCAGTGGTTCTCCAGGTCCGTTTCAAGGTCCTAGTTCTCACTTATAAGATCCTACATGACTTAGGCCCGGGATATTTGCAGGACCTTCTCCTGCCTGCCTCTCACCGTCCTGTTTGCTCACATAGGATCGCTCTCCTCAGGGTTCCGATGGTGAGCCAATGTTGTCTTGCTGTGCCCAGGGGTAGGGTGTTCTCTGTGGGTGCTCCCACCCTCTGGAATGAATTACGTACCGAGCTCCGGACGGCTCCTGATCTCCGTTCCTTCCGTCGGGACTTGAAGACTTGGCTGTTCAAACAAATAGGCTGACTCTGATTCCGGGTTTTATTATTTACTATTAATTAATTATTTGGATTAAAATGGGATTTTATTGTACTTGTTTCTTAACTTGTGTTCACTGCCCTGAGTCCTTTGGGAGAATGGCAGCATATAAATACATGTAATAAATAAATAAATAAATAAATAAATAAATAAATAAATAAATAAATAAATAAATAAAATGGATCTTGAATGCAATTATACTATATATGCACATTTTTCATTATCAATAATATAGTACATTAAATTTAACCTAGTATTTTTGGTCATTTTCCAAAACGGCAGTGTCCTTCCTTTATTATTTTTTGCTTTTTTGTTGTTGTTTCTTATAGGTACATATTTCTAATATCATTAAACTTATATTCCTGAATTTTAGAGCTAGCATATGCAAGCACTTAAAAGTTACTGTTAGGAAATTGTTATTACCCAACGGGTTGGTCAGGAAATATATAAACCAACATAGTGTGTTTGTAGCTAAAAGTATTATGTAGTTTTAAAAACTTGTTGCATCATCATGCATCCTGATTGGCTGAGCTCTGTAGCCAATGTACTTAAGGAGAATTGAATTATGGTTTGTGTGGACACTACACCATTTTACCTGCTGATATGCTGTAACTATATTTGATCTCTCTCCATGATCATTGCTTGATCATGGCTATTTATTGCTTTTCTAATATTTATTGACTGTTTTTATATTGAACTGTGTTCCTGACTGAAACTAAAGAAGATCTGTTTTATTGTATTTTTCTACAACTGGTAAGAAGACTTTATATTGGAAAATATCCCTGGACTGATCTTTATCACACTTTATATTTGTATGACTTGGAATGTTTTTGGACTATGATTTTGCTTTTTCCCTAAAAGTAAAGTATTATCAAAACCCAGTTTGTTTGTATGTTAACTGTTATTATCCACAATCATTCTCAGTCGCTTTCGTGTGTAAACTCAAAGGGTACTCTACTCAATAACTCACAACATTGGTTGTGAGCCAAGAATATCATTAACAGTTACTTCAGGAATAATGTGTATAGAAGAGCACATAAAAGTACCCTGGGCTCTTGCTATGTGAGCCCAAAAGTACCAACCTCTTCAAACTGCAATAAAGGAACAAATAATAAAGAATATGACAGCACTAATAATCCATTTGTCTCTCTGAGAAGAAAATAATTACACATAGTCTTGTTTATTTCATAAAGATCATAAATTTCGGTAAAAAAACAAACAAACCCAAATCATTTTATATTTAAACATGTGGGTAATTGAGCCTGACTTCCTGTGTTCATAAATTCAAAAATCTCTGCTGATCAATACAATAAATGAACATTAGTTGAATTTATATTGAAAAATGGAGTGATTATATTACCAAATTTTGATTTGATTTGTAAGCACAGCTCTATCAATGTTCACTAAAGTAGTGAGGCAGAACAATGATACTTACATTCTGCAAAGCAAGAACTGACATCAATTTTCCAGATAATCTGGCCTTGGTGAGAGCCATTTACTCCACGATTTTTGTAGTCCAAGAAGTTTTCTGATAGAACCTCATCTGGGAAGTAAATAAAAAATTATTTCACAGCAAAAGAAGGAATCATTGGCAAATTGTTTGTATGATTGTAAGCCATCCAGAGTTACCCTGAGGTAAGATTGGTGGCAATAAATTTTATAAATAAATGAATAAATGAAATGCACTACTGGGGACACGGTGGCTCAGTGGCTAAGACGCTGAGCTTGTCGATCGAAAGATCAGCAGTTCAGTGGTTTGAATCCCTAGTGCCGCTTAACGGGGTGAATTCCCGTTACTTGTCCCAGCTTCTGCCAACCTAGCAGTTCAAAAGCATGTAAACAATACAAGTAGAAAAATAGGAAACACTTTTGGTGGGAAGGTAACAGCGTTCCATGTGCCTTTGGCATTTAGTCATGCCAGCCACATGATCACAGAGACGTCTTTGGACAGCGCTGGTTCTTCGGCTTTGAAACGGAGATGAGCACCGTGTCTTAAAGTCGGGAACAACTGAAACATACGTGCGAGGGGAACCTTTACCTTCTACTACTGTCTTTTGATTAAAGTAGAATTAACATGAATCCTAAGGCAAATGAACTAAACAAAGAAAAAACTTCTTCATGAATGCACACTTTCTTTATCACAAAGGATTTTAGCATGCATACCATTTCTATTTTTAATAGTAATTTTACTGTTATTATTACTAAATACTAAATATTATTAAAATAATTGCAATTGTAATTTTTAGTAATGCAAACTAAAATAAAAATGAAGAAAAATAAGAATGTAGTATTGAAAAAGAAATACAAGCAGTCCTCAACTTTTGACCACAACTGAGCCCAGAATCTCAGTTGTTGAGCGAAGCATGACAAGTGGGAGCTGAAATTTGCTCAATGATAATTGAGCAAATCAGCCCACGTGACTGGTTTGCTCAATTACCACAATCCTGGCATTCTCATTTGCAGTCATTAAATGATTTTGTGGGTTGTTAAGTGGAGTCTCAGATAAGCAGAGTGGGTTGCCTGGAAGAGGGAGAGCCTGGAAGGTTCTGATTAGAGCTAAAAATCCTTCCTGCCTAAATCAGACCAGGATTTTCCATCCTGAGGGAGAGATACTCGTGTATGTTCTTGGCTGGACCTTGCAAGGCTTACCCTTCCTACCTGAAGAACTCTGTGCTCCTGACCTACTTGTACTGTCTTTCTGCTTGGATTTCATCTCCCTCTTTTTTTTTTTAATACATTTTTTTTATTATAGTTCAAAAAACAAAAACAAAAGCAAATGTATAATAGTTTTTCTATCACAGTGTAACATCACCAAAATATCCATGTATATATACACCAATAATCAGAAAGTAAAAATAAAAACTATTTACTCCGTCTTGTCTCTAGGGACTAACTGTCTGCCAATGTCCTAGGATCGTGATGGCGAACCTATGGCGCAAGTGCCAAAGGTTGGCACACAGCGCCCTCTCTGATGGCACACAAGCCGTCGCCCCAGTTCAGCTCTACTCCGCATGCATGTACGCCTCCCGCTGGCCAGCTGGTCTTCGAATCTCTGCCATGCATGTGCGGGTGCAATGCAGGGGTGCATGCATACAGGGGTGCAGGGTACGTGCATGGGTGGGTGGGTGGGGCAAGTGCAGGGTCCCACTCATGCATGCACAGGGGTGGGGTGTGTGCGGAGGGCCATGTGTGCATGTGGGGGGAGGGCACATGTGTGGGGCCGGGCGCACATTGCATTTGGGGGGTTTGGCCGCGCATGCGGGCACTTTGAGCACTCGGTCCAGAAAAGATTAGCCATCACTGTCCTAGGAACTTAATTTATTTATATTTTTGTTTGTTTGTCCCATCTCACAGAATTCTTCAAAGCTTTGGAAAGCCTCTTTTGTAAATCCAATATAAGAAAATCATGCAAGTCACCCTGTTACTTTTTTATTGATATATTCCTTTTCATGATTAATACATTAGTTGGTTTCTTTTGTATGTCCAGTATAGCATCTTTTTCCGCATCATTATAGCTTATCATTTTAAATCTACTTTAATAGCAATCAGCAACCTGACGGCGGCCATCCAGGCTGGACCACAGCCAGCCTTAGATCTGCAGCGGTGCCTTGGCCCTGCCTCCTGAGCGTACGCACGGGAGGCGGTGAGCGTACAGAGCCTAGTGTCCCTGGGGACTGCATTCTGAACACTTGCCTTTCACCAAGGAGGCCAGCCCTCGCACGCTCACCACCTCCTATGTGCACGCCTAGGGAGTGGGGCTGAAGTGGTGCGGCAGATCTAAGGCTGGCCAAATCCATACAGAGTTCACTTGTAGCTTTTCAAAATTGAAGTTCTAATAACCTTTTGCTGTTAACCCTCTGATTTTTAAAGAAGTCCTTAAACTGTTATTTAAAACTTTTTCACTAAGGATTGAAGAAAATCTTCAAATGTTGATTCAAAGATTCCTAATAGTTGAAAAGCAATTAACAAGTAATTTCTAAAAGTGATTAGAACAGGAAATATGACAACCCAGTCATATGGTGTCCTTAAAGGCACCAGCTGTGGTTGAGCAAGATTGCTATTCTCTCATCTCCCCAACCCTAAACCTACCAGAAACTGCTGTGTTGAAATTTCCTAATGAGGAGCAACTCTATGGAACACTTGTGGGCAATCTCAAGTCCTCTCTTTATCTGAAGAGGAATCACAAAGAGTCAATCCACTTCCTGGTTCTTCATTCCATTTTCACTGAAGCCATCTGTAATTAATCACTTCTTCCCTGAAAATCTTGAATGTTCCTCAACATTCCTCAATGTTCACAAAATGTTCTCTCTCACTTTCTTTCTCTGCCTCCCTCCCTCCCTTTTTCAACTGAGGTAAAAATTTTAAACTGGCATTCTCTTAAAATAGCAAAAGAGTTTATGAATTTCTTTCATTTCAAAAATGAGTCATAAAAATAAGTAGTTCTACCTAGGGAAAGCTAGAAATTCTTCAGAATAATTAATCAACACTTTACAGTCCATCTCAATAGCCCAGAAAAGTGTAAGAGGGATGCTAATAGCTAGATATATAACAGGTCACTTTGGTTTCAAAGAGATGTAGAAGTTTATAAATCTTAGACCTGACTCGTAAGGGGAGAAAGCTATTATTGTTGTAATATACTTGTCAGTGCTTAACTAATGTATCTTTTTTTTCTTCCTTTTTTTTTTTTTGCCTTTTTAATCGACTTATTTCTTTCTTTTTAAGTCTTTATTAAGTTTGGTTCTTGTAAAATTTCCAATTTTTTTTCCTTTGAAGTTTGTATTTTAATTTTCTGCCCTAAAAAATAAACAAAAAAATGTAAGAGGGATGTAATTCACATAAATTTCCAGGGCACTTTGATGGCTTTTATCTGTTATATAAATAAGATAAATTTAATTTTCTTATTACATGCATGTGAAAACTTTAAATGTTACTAATAGTTTAATAGTTTACTAATACTAAAACTTTAAATGTTTACTAATAGTTCATTTTAGGGGATAGTTTTGTGTTGTTCAATTTATTGATTATATTTTTATTGGTCAGTGATCAAAATAAAGTTCTGTTTATTTGACAATTCACTAGTATTTGAAGCTGTATTTGACTTGGTGTATCTTAGAATAAATCCTCAAACTAAGGGAGATGGCTGACAGCCTGCTGGGTCAAGATATGGTTCGTTTGAACCACATACAGAACACATTCTAGCCAATGTTACCATTTTCTCCCAAAAGCATATAGTTAGTGGTTCTGTAATAAGTATACCATGTACAAAATATTCTCTAAAATTCACCGTGTATTAGAATTACTGTGCACTCGTACATTAAATGTAGCTTCATTAAATATTGCTCTTTCACTGTGAATTTCAGTGAATTTGAGATTTGCCCCAATCTATATTCAGAAAATCCTCACTAATTAGAATATTTGCATGTTACATTCATTTTTAGAGAGATTTGCCTTTTAGGAAAAATAAAATTAAAGGCAAAAGTGAAGAGAAAGAAGCATATGATACTTAAAGCAAAGTTTCTCTGGCTAATTAGTTCAAAATAGGTTTGACACATTTTTTTAAAAAAAAAAATAAGAACAAGAAATTGTCTAAAAATTGTGAAAGTATGATGACATTTTATCAGATTTTAAAAAAATATTTTACTTTTTCTATGAGGATAATGAAGATGAAAGTCTACAATATATCAATAAGCAGAACATAATATGACCTATATATGAAATCATAAATTACAAATTGCCTGTTTTAGGCATTTATGACTCAAGATAAGTTAGATGAACTTGCCTAGATGAAATGAAACTAGAGTTTTTCACATTTTTCAAAGGCCACTTAGTTGTGAAATTCTTCCAATCTACTATTTTCATAATAGACACAAATTATGAAATACATAAAATATCTTTATTCTGTAGGGCATATTTCTATTGATTCCATTATTATTTAAAATTCTTTTCTTCAAAAACATGTTTTTGTTCATATTATATTCTACTACAAGGTGTCAAACTCCTGGCATCACGTTGTCACGTGATGCTTCCCGATGTTTTTCACAGAGCTGGGATGGGCGCATGACGCATCTGGCTTGTGGCTGCCACTTTTGACACCCCTGTACTACAATATTACAACCAAGGGTGGGTTCTAAAAATTTTTTACTACCAGTTCTGTGGGCATGGCTTATTTTGTGGGTGTGGCTTGGTGGAGGGGTAATGTGACCGGGTGGGCGCGGCCAACTTTTTTTAAAAACTTTTTAAATTATTTTTTCTACAACCTTAAGAGGTTGCAGAAAAAAATGCTTTTTAAAAGCCTCTGATGATCAGGCAATTCAGCTGGGATCACCGGAGGCTTTTAAAGGCATTTTTTTTCCTGCAACCTTTTCGGCCGAAGAAGTTGCAGAAAAAAAATGCTTTTAGAAGCCTCTGACGATTGGGCAACTTCACCTGGGATTGCTAGAAGCTTTTAAAGGCATTTTTTTTCCTACAGCCTCTTCGGCCGAAGAGGTTGCAGAAAAAAATGCTTTTAGAAGCCTCTGACGATCGGGCAACTCAGCTGAGATC